CGAAACTCCAAACATTCTGGTTCCTTCAGGTTGTAGAAACCCTAACTCTGACTTGATGCATCAGCCAGTTTCTCCATTGATTTGTGTGGATTCCTGAATCTCTACTTACAAAGAAAGGTTTATCAATCCGTGCACATCTAGGCTTAGAATAAATCTTCATTCAGCTCAAGCTCAGTCAGATTGAATGAGTGGCACAGATACAGATTTAAGGATGGGCTTTGACTAGGATCTTCTCAGTTCATTTTATTGAAGCTTGCTGCAGCCAGTCTGGGCTCTGACACTCACCCACATTTACAACAGAGTTGTTTACCAGGTGTGGTTTCTGCTTTTCATGGGAGTCATCCATGATCCTGAATATTCTGTTTTCACAAAGGAGGTGTAAATTTAACCAGAGTAATGTTTAAGAACAGTTTGGCTGATTATTTTAGAGACAACAACATGCTTTTAAACCATTCGAATGAACCTCTAGCTGTATGTTTATTTCTTTTTGTCGTGCTGGAAGTTTAACCTCAGCCCCATTCTAAATTCTTCTGCAGCCTCTATCACTTTTTCCAATGTATGCCTGTATTTAGCTGAACTGAGCAAAGCCACAGCATGTTGGTGCAAGTATATATATATTAATAATATTAAGTAAATATTTTATTATTAAAAGAAAACTGATGTGTATGTATTTTTTTTTTACTGTTTTCAAGGCTGCACTTTAAAAAATGAAATAGTCAAGAGAGCCGTTCTTAACCAATTTCTTTTTGTTTACACTTGTGTGTACAAAATGACAAAATAAATCTGTCTAAGTACCATAGTTATCCACTTCTAAGTGGTTTGCACGTTGCCCAAAATGTTCAGTGCTGGTCGTGTTTGACCAGAGCGCCATCTTCCACTTATTCATTAAAAGGGCAAATGAAACCTTCAATGGAAGGATACTTCTCCTCCATTCCCATCCTTGGCCTACCTGTCTACCCTGGCAGGTAATGGTAGCCCATCCATTTAGCTAAGTTTACAGGAAGAGAAGCACCTGACAGTTGAGTAAATATTTCACGTAACAACATTCAGGCATTCCTCCCTAGTGGAGATGTTCACATCGAGGTCATTCATTGCAATTAGACAGCCCTGTCAACAGAGTTAATCATTCATGCATCACGACAGCATTTACCATTTGGAGGAGAACCGTCAGGTTTCATATCCAACAAGCACTGGGAACTGCAAGGACTGCCACTGGTTTCAGTTAACCCATGTTACACCATGTCTGCTCTATGAAGATTGTTTGTTTAATTGATATTAAATTAAATATTGTGTAGACAAAAAAAAATCTTACCTCTCTCATACTTATTTCTGTAAAAAAAATGTTTAGGTTCTCCAAGTAGCATCAGAAGAATATAGTTGCCTGGACATCTTTAGAGGAAACATTGAAAACATTGTGTATGTTTTTTGCCACAACCCTGTGAAGTCTCAGCGCCTGCGTAAAGAGTTCTGGGATGTGGCCCTCCACACAGATGTCAGGTTCAGGTCAGTATTTCTTCCCTCATCTTTCATCCTTTCTATTAGCTCCAGATCCATGTTAGATCTGGGGCTTTAACTGAACCCTTGGATGTTATACTAGGTCCAAAAAAAAGCATCAAATGTCCCTCTATTGTTGCGCAGTTTGTGGAAGTATAGATAAATATATTTTATTCAGATATACCAAGTTTAATTGGGGTTACCAGCAGAAAAAATATACTTTTAAGCCTAGAAAATAGTGGAACTTGAATATAAACGATCAGCAGATAACTTTGTCTCCTCTGATCCCCCCCATAGAAAATATCTGGAGCATGTGGCTGATAAAATTTCAAGCTGGACAAAAGAAGAAGAGTTGAAAAGGGAGAAAAGGCTGATCATGAACCAGAGTCCTGCTGAGGCTCTGAAAGGTGCTGCTTTGGTTTTAGAACAGTCTGTCAAATGAACAACCTTCATCAGAAACATGTGAACCAGCTGCTGGTTTTTAATTCACCATCTTGAAGCCTTGTCTCTCCTCAGGGTCTGGTTACAGTTGTCATGTAAAGATTAACTGAGGATAGAAGCTTAGCTGAACATAAAATAAATACAAGAATCATATTTCAGCTGTAAAAATACTTTAATAGATTTACTATTCTGCATCTCCTATATTCTCCCCTTGGCTGAAAACATTCACAGACTATTTTTTTTCGATATCAAAGAACTCTCTGAATAAAATCGGACCAGTTTGCCTCATATTTCTGCATACCTTGTTTTACCAAAGTGAAGCTCACAAAGCAAAGACTGTAATCATTTTAATGCCTGGATATCAGATTAAGTTTTAATGTGATGCATTCATATCATTTTCCTCTTTTTTTATATTTCTTTTTTTTATGTTTATACTTGATTCATAATATTTTGATATAGCTAATTTGTGTTATTACATACTTGCAGGTTTTTATCCTGAGTTAAATGGGCCAAGAAAATATGTTTGTAAGAATATTGCAATTAAAGAGCTATTAGAATGTGACCTTTGCCTGAATATAGAACAAAAGCAGCCAGAAATGTTAACAGGTAGAATATCTTTTTTCATGAACTTATTTTTCTTATGTCGCTTTCAACACTTTGGTGTCTAAATGTTTTGCAATTTTGGCCAAAATGAGCTCTTAAAATGGCAAAAACAAATTTATTAGCTTTTTCTTTGTCTAACCTCTTAATAATGATTCTGGCTGTATGATCAGACAGTATTATCTCTGTAAAGTGGCTTGAGATTAGACGTGTTGTGAATTGGCGCTATCTAAATAAACTGAATTGAATTGTTTTGTGAAGGGCTCACATCAGTGAAAACTGCACCTTGTCTAGGCGCTTGAGCTGACAAACCAACTCTTACGGCCCTATGCCCTTTCCTTACCAAACAAACTAGAACAGATGAATAAAGACGCCATCTATCTTTAAAGTCTTGATGCAGGGCAGCTCTCCTTTCTCTTAGTTTCAGTACTGTGTAAGAATGTTATTTGTTTTTCATGTTTAGATGAAACCCCTGCCTGCTCCGTAGTGGAGGAAGAAGCTCTGGAACCAGTCATCAGAGAAGATTCCCTGAAAGTCAGTCACCTGAAACTCACACCACTGAGCACTCACATGGGCCACACCAGTATTCAATTACAGTAGAATATGATTAACCAGAGGCCACTTTGTCATCACCAGGATCTCTTTTCATTAGGTGGATGTAATGACTCACTTAGCATCGCAGAAGCATTCATTAGCTTTAATAATTATATCATAGATGTCAGATCTGTGACTTTAAATACAGTGAGATTGAAAATGATGATTGTTTGCATTATTTCAATGGGAATCTGTAGTTTAACAAGGTGGCTTGTTAAGAAAAAAAATAAATAAAAAAATATGTTTTAATATGCATTCTAATTCATCAATGATACATACCGGATTACATCATGAAAAATATCTATTTTTTAGTAATAATGTAAGAATTTTATATACTCACTCTCATTTCTTTCATTGGCATGCCAGTCTTCAAGCCATTTAAATAAAACGTGAAACAGTGGTAGCCCTCTCACATTAGTTCCTTCTTAGATCTTTCTATTATGTTATTTTTAAAGGCCATGGAAATGGAGCAGGAGCGGATGAAGAAAGAGGAGGCCATCAAAAAATCAAAGAATAAGGCCAAAGGCAAACAGCAGAAAGAGGTTAAGGCATCTGACAAAAAAAACAAAGCTCTGCTTGGTGACGAGAAGAGGAGAGAACATAAAGGAAATGAAGGAATTGTTTCAACCAAGACCCTCACAGCTCCGCCCGCTACCACAGCAGCTGCTGAGGATGAACAGAGGGACCTCGGTCTAGAAGAAGAACCTGACAATGTGAAGGAACACAGAAATCCAGAAATGAAATGTAGTGTTCTGTCCTCCAACTGCTCATTAGGTGTTGATTTTAGATTATTTTTTTGTTGCCATAGAGATTCATCGGCTACATCACGGACGGACAGTTGATCCATGCATCAGGACACATTGAGAAAATCTACCCCTCAGATGGAGGACGGATTACTGTGGAGCATGTGAGCTTTGTTGAAGGTATAGACAATTAAAACCAACAACCTTAAAATCTGCACGTGTATCTTTGCATTTCTATGCAGATTCCTTTTAGAGCTATCCCGTCTAACAGTAACAGGTGGTTAATCTGTGGTTTTCTTTCCTCTGTCCTCATTAAAACACTGATTTTCCTACTCAGGTCCTACCATGATGAAAGTAGCAGTAAAGAAGGATGGACACCTTTTCCACACGCACATCAACCACATTGTTCATTTTCACCCTAACCCCCCGAGTAAGCCAGAGGATAAGAAAAATATGGATCCACAAGGGGAATGGAAAGGTGAAAAAAAAGCTTCACATCTCCCTAACCAGTTAGCAACTTAGTGCTAACTGGTTAGGGAGATGCTTCTGACCACACTGGCCATAACCAAAATAGCTTGCAAACCTTCCTCCACAACAATCCCACCCCCTTGATAAACGACCAATCATATTCACTTTATTCACTCGTGTAAAGTCTGGCACCACTCGGGATAATTCAGAAATGCAACCGTTGAAACAGCTGCTTCCCTACAACTTTAACAATCTGCGGTGTAAAATATTTTGAGCACCATTTCACAGTGGAGCCAGCTTTATATCACCATGTATTATGAAGGTCCAAATGATGAAGCCCCTGTTCAGTAACATACAAAGATAAATTTAATTTGCTGCTTCCGTGTGCCAGAGGCCTCTTGTATAAACAAGACGAGCCAACGGCATTTTAAATTAACTGTAGTAATATAGTGCCTCTTCAAGCCAGAGGACTCCACAGCACCTTAAAACTGCATCCACTCATTCACCCGTTCACACCCTGATTGTAGCAAGCTACTGTACACTGCTGTGACCAGAAGTGTGCAGGAATGTTTTAGATTTGAATGTCTTTGGTTCTTTGCCGTGCTTTCCACTGATTAGAAACTCTGTATTGATGTGTCTGCCTGTCCTCTGTAGAGCCAGAGGCAAGGTTGATGAAGGTCGTAAAGCAGGGCTCCTTCTCAGCAGTCCTTCGTAATCAAATCAGACTCTCCTACAGTTTCTACGGCCCAACAGCAGAAGGTAAAGGAAAATATCATATTATATCACTATAAATGTTTGAATTTCAAACAGGTAGACTGCTCCTGTTGCAGCTCTGAGTATTTATTATGTTTGAACTGTGTTTTTATTTTAGAGGACAGAGATTCATTATTATTTATTTATTTTTATTTTTTTAAGTGTGTTTTCAGAAGACACATGTTTCCAGCCAGGAACCAGTTCCTTTCTCCTCCTCTGACTTCAGCTCCAACAGACAAATCCAGTCCATTGAGGTCAGGCTTTCTCTCCTGGATTAAACACACTTATAAACAAACAAAAAGAAAATATTTGTTTTGTTGCTTTAACCACATTCTGATGTATTTTAAGGAGTGCAACGTTCAGTCAGCTCAACAGTCGCATTCTCTCAACGGTCTCAGCCTTTCTGTTCCTAACGGATTACTGCTGCAGTTTCTGCATGAGGACACACAAGGTCAGTGGGAGCTGGATGAAACCACAGCAGCTTGCAGTCTGCCCCATCAGCTCATTCAATGTGTGAATGCGTCGTATTTCTCACCTCTTTGTTGAGTTTTATGCTGTACCCTGCTAAAGTATTCACACCCATTTGCTCACTTTACAACACAATTGGGGTGTTTCATTGCTATATCAGAGATTATTTATTTGAAAAGAAAAAAAAAAACATTTTGTTTATGCCCCTCTTAACCCTGACACCATTTAATAATATGAAGGAGTGCCAGACTAGAGATTTTTTTTTTTTTTTATAAGAATAAGGGTGTAATATTATGAGAATAAAGTCTTAAAATTACGGGAATAAAGGCGTAATATTATGAGAATAAAGTCCAGATATTACAAGAATAAAGTTGTATTTTATGACAACTCTTACAAGAATCACTTTCTTCCCTAAAATGAGGAATATCCAGCATCATGTGAAGTTATACTTTGGCACTGGTTTGACAAATAAGGAAATCTTTTAGCGCACCAGCATCAAATAGGGCTCGGGATCCATGTTGCATTGTGGGACGTCGCGGTCATATTGACGGCTACGCAAAGGTAAACATAGCTGTGATACAACGTTGTGGTTGAAAGAAGAGACGTAGAAGTAGAGAGAAAAAAGATT